TTATGGGACTAACTCATGATATTGGCCGATTTTGATCAATTGAATTTGTCGATAGGGACATATAGGTGGTTTTAATACCCATTCTAATTGCATAATTTACTGACAGGACACGATGTTCCCCATTAAGCATTTCATTTAACATTTGCAATTTTATATATACTGATATATAAAAATTTATCATAATGTTTATTTATTTTATTTAACTTTATTTATATAACTATCACGATGTTCATTTAAGTGCATTAGTGCATTTTTGCATGTATACAAATATAAGTTATTTTTCATATTTTATTTTTAAAATGTTTAACAAAATTCTTTTTGTTTTCCAATTAATTTTAATTAATTTATATTGTGCTACAAGTGAATTGCCTATTATAGTTTTTAATACTGGTTTAAGTGATATTTCTTATAATTATATTGCAAATGATTATGATATTATTAATACACAAACTTCGATCAAGTTTTCCCGAATATCTAGTTTCCCGATCAAAAGCCTAGATGTAGATATTCAAGACAAATATATAGTGTTTTCATACACTGATCGCGATTATAAAATAAGAATACAGGCTATTGAATATAAATTAAAATTGAATTCAACAACTGGTATTTCTCGCCTACAGGTAAGTTCATTTGAATTATAATACAAAATGATTGGTGTGTGTGTGTGTGTGTGTGTTAGAGGGAGAGAGAGAGAGAGAGGGAGAGAGAGAGAGAGGGAAAGGGAGAGAGATAACTTTAATATATTTAATATATTAACAAATTTTGTTGTTTTTTTTCATTAATAAATAAATAGATTATGAAACGAACACAATTTGAAAATTTTAAATTATCCAAGCAATATTTGGCAATTGATTGAATACATAATCTTATATATTATTTCACCAACTACAATATCAATGTTACACACATAGATAGCCCGGAACTAAGCTACCAAGTTACTAATTACGACAATAAACAGTTTAGATTTAATATTTGGAATACGGGTCATTTAGCAATTAACCCTGCTGAATCATTCATAGTATGGTCGGAATGGTATTCCAACGGAACGGCAGTTATCCGAAAGTGTAACCAAGACGGAAGTGAACCCAAAATACTGGTCTATAAAGGTATCCGACAACCAATGTGTTTAGCTATCGATTTTCAGTCGAAATCGATTGTATGGATTGACAACGAATTTCATTGGATATCGACTATCGATTATTTCGGTGACAATCGAAAAATCATCAAAACATCGAAACAACACTTCAGCGACTGTTCCGCAATCGATGTGTTCAACGGTTCCGTGTTTTGGTCGTCGCCTAAAGAGGAAAGCATTTTTGCCATCAATTTGAAGGACCATTCAATAAGTATGTTATTAACAATGTTTAATTAATAAACTTAATAAACATAAATAATAGCTTTAATGTTTATTCATCGAATTTACTACAGAAACTGTTGTAAAATCAGACGGACCCATTTATTTCAACAAGATAATTTACCCTGATAAACAACCAGAAAGCACAAACTATTGCCTTAACAGTACATGCGATCACCTGTGTCTGCCAAAAGGCAACCAAAGTTACCGGTGCTTATGCTCGGACGCCAATCAACTGGACACGTGTTCGGAACCGGAAGCACGTGTTGAATGTCCACCGGATATACCGATTATCGTGCAAAATATTAGTGCCGTATCCGAAATGCTCGACTCGAATGACACGCTATTGTTATTTAAGACGCGATACCCGGATATTAGACTCGGGAAACTGTCCAGAGATATATTTCACCCACTACATTATATCGAATCGGAATATTTACTAAATATAACTAATAATGTGTATCAACTCGATTTTAATATCCAGAATAACTATCTTATGGCTATTATTGAATCCCGTGACGAAACGAAAATCGTGTCACGACCTATTATTAACACAAATACCCAGCGGACAGTTAGCACAATATCTTACACGATAACCAAAAACTACGAATCCCTGACCGTGGACTGGATTCACCATATTGTATATTTTGCTAATTGCCATAGAAACTATCCATATGTCACGCCAAATGCCATTGGCATTTATGTCGGAAAAATATATGCTGATGACCGTGATATTTATCCGGTTATTACGTACGAAAACTGTGTGATCAAGGACATTCGTGTCGATCCGTTGGTATCTATGCTATTCTGGACCGAATATATTGACGACCAGGATAAATATTATGGCGATCAAAAGACTTATTATAGTGATGGCAAATTTAAGAGTCATTTAATGGGCGCCTATCAGGATGGACAGGCTGTTCGTGTAATCGCGGATTCTCAGTATATTAGGCGGCATACACTTAACTTAGACATAAGGACCAAGATGATTTATTATATACGTACCAAATATGATGACAAAAGTGTTAGCCAGGTATGTTCTGTGAATTACAATGGGAGTGACCAACGGATAGTCCACTCGTCGACAAACCTGTTCACCGATACTATACTAATGACCACCGATTTGTTCGGGGAATACCTATATTGGATGAGCGCTACAAATAATTCTATATTACGAGTGCCCATAAATAACGTGTCCGATACAGCACCGAGCGCACAGGTAGTCATGGAATCTGGAATAGCGTTGAATACTTTCAGAATAATTAATAAATTACGTCAACCTACCGGTTCTAATAAGTGCGCTCAGAGTAGGTGTACCGAACTGGGATTGTGTTTGCCTACTGGCTATATGAATGCAAACTACCGGTGCGTTTGTAAAAAATATTACGGAACGGTATTACTCTGGAACGGTACGGCCTGTGCCCACCACGACCTACCTGTGGTCACGACACATGATCCACAAATAACGTCGACTCTCGTACCCTTTGATTTAAACGACGAAAACACGAAATTACTGTACGTTTCCTATAAAGAGGGCATTTATATTAAAAGCGATGTAAATGAGACAGGTTATAATTACTTAGACGGTTCAATAAGTTCGTAAATTTATAAATTAATGTATAATTAAGGTAAATAATATATATGTACTTAATTTGTACAGGTTTATATGCGTCATCTAATTGGATAACTTACCTCGATTTTAATTATCGACATGGGTTTATGATATGGCTTGAAAATACTGTCAATGGTTTTGAAATAAACTTATCTCCAATACATAAAGATATGGTTAAAAATTCGAAATATAACAATGTGCACAGGGTGGTTAAAAAAATTACCAAGCTAATGGTTTAGCCTACGACTGGATACATAATTTAGTTTACATATCAGTCACTAGTGGGGTAGAAGTTTATAACATTGGAGATCATATGAGCAGTATATACAAGTTAGTTTTAAAATTTAATATACTGAGTACTGGTAATTGTTCTAATAATTGTTCCTGTTTATTATTATAGCTACGATATCATAACACACGATGAAATGCAGGGTGACGTTAAAGTGGACCCCATAGAGGTCCTACTTGTGTGGTCTCAATGGCGACATAATATGACTGCCAATGAATATAACGGCAGTATTATGTGTTCAAAATTAGATGGATCCGACATACAGGTGCTCAACAACCGCACCAGGCATCCACACACTATAGCACTGGACACAAACGCTCAGTTAGTCTATTGGATCGACACATTTATGTATACTTTGAACGTTATGGACTATAAGGGGCTAAACGTACGTACGGTAGCTCAGGGATCGTCACTATTTTCAACCGCTTTTTCAATGGATTTCTATGGGAAGTACACCTATTGGTCGACAGGACAGACAGTATACCGGGCCGATGGGAACAACACTGAGGTAGTATTGAACGCATATTCGGATATACAAGGAATTCGGGTGTTGAACACCGGGAGGCAAGGTTTTGGATCTCGCTATATGTGTCGAAGAAACGATGACTGTTCGCAACTATGTCTACCAGTTTCACAATATAGATCCCGGTGCGCTTGTGGTAAAAATCGCATACTGTGTCGCGAGAGTGTGAGTTGTTTTTTATAGTGTTGAATATGACTTAATTGTCTTGATAAATTTACACTTGGAGAATTTTTCAGTGTTTAAATTTTTAATTGTTTATATTTATAAATCTAGAAATGGTTATTAGCGGAGTCCAAAAACAATTTTAATAATACTGCAAATAGCACAATTGACAGCAACACCGAGATAAATAAACTGGAAACTAAATTAGATAATTTAATTCAAGAATTGCAGCATATTTCTGGAAAACAAGAACAACCTAGTGCAAATAGTAAATGGTTTATTATTACGATAATTGTAATAATTATAATAAACATTATAGTTATTGCATATTTGTACAGAAAACTTTTAACGTAAGTTACTTATCAATTATAAGTTATTATATTTTATTAAACTAATACTTATTTATTTTTACAAATAAAAAACATTCTAGGCAATTTATTGCAAACTGTTCATCGAAAACTCGTAATAATAAGCATAATAATATGGATGACATGATAAATATGAGAGAGACTTCAATTAATAGTGAATTGTAAATTTTTGAGTTAAATGTAAAACAACTGCTTTGTAGGTTAACATACAGTATGAAAGATCAGGGTACTAATATAACGACAAATTAGGAGAACGTTTTGAAAAACCCGTGAAATCCAAAAATATTATTACATTGTGTTCATGATATAATCACATAAGACTTTTATTATAAGTTAATAAGTGTTAAAACAATAATTATACTCTTACTGACAAAATTAAATAGTAAAAACTTTGTAAATTAATTATTTCATTTCAAATAATTTATTTATTCAGCAATGTTAATTCAGCATGAACAATTTTACAAGTCAATTAAAACAGGTAAAGATTAATTCCAACTAAGTTACAAAATGCATAATAGTTTTTATAAAAATAAAATAACTAATGCTTTCTAAATATTAAGCCTATATAAAAATTTTAAAAGTGCCGCTCTCTCTCTCTCTCTCTCTCTCTCTCTCTCTAACTCACTAACTAAACAAACATTGATTGCATAACAACTATGCTATACACCTACTGTACGTTCAATGCTTTTACAACATTTATATTGGCGTTATTTATAAACCCAGTGATAACACAACTACTGTATGACAACAATGTCATTAAAGCTTCACAATTAAAACGCATTAACTTTATTATTAAACAAATATGAAATATTCCGGATGCGATATCCTGACAAATCTTATTTTGCCATATTATAACTTATAATTTATAAGTACAGTGTTTGAAATATACTGCTAATACCGGTAATTGTTTCTTAAAATGTTAAATATTTAAACAACAATTAGTGTAGTTGGGGTCAAAGGGTACTGGACTTTGGTTAGGGTGACTTCCCCACTGACACACAAATGTATCCTTTTATTGACGCTTACATTCAAGAGATGAGTAAAATTAATGGCAATTCTTATATGAAATGTGAAATCAATTCACACAAAAACATTATAAAAGAGGCGAAAATTTTTACTTTAATGGCATTCATGAAGGATATACTGTTTTGCATTTGGGTTACAATTGATACCAAAAAGACAGACTTAATGGTATTTAAGAATTTTAAAATAAAAATAACTTATTATATGAGTTATACTTATACCAATATAAAGTATATAATTTGTGTATTTTTATATTTACAGCCAAAAGCCCAGACTCGACTTAATTGTTATAAAGTCCTTAAAAAGCGTATTCTTCGAGAATATTCTTGTATTAATGAATAAATAGTCTGATTTATCATTTGTTTTTTTCTTTTAATTTATTTTTTATTTAAAAATTATTTACAGAGTATCTGGTATTATTCAATTAATGTGTTTATATAATATGTTACATCATTACATTGATAGAAATCTTTCAATTGAAATATATTTTAGATTTCCAAACAAATGCGGAAAAAACCGATTATGCTGGATAAATAAATTGATTTCAAAAATATTGAATAATTTAGTAAATTTCAGTATAATTAAAATATTTCTAATAATTATGACATGTATTTATTCAGTGACATTTCTAACTATAAATATAAAGCAATTCATTGAAAACAATTATATCTAATATTTGGGAAAATAAATTTAAATCTGAATATTATTCCTATTTTAATTTAATTGCATAAATATGTATGCGAAATTAGCCTTGATTGTTTTCGTGGGCTGCCTAATCCCTCAAATTAAATGCCTTGCTCCATGTTGGGATCTTACTAATAATACGTCAGTTTTCTCATTATTTTGTGGTATGTCCTTACTTTCATTTTGGTTATAAGGTTTAATTTATTTTATTGAAAATGTTTCTAGCTGATTGCAAGGATGCTACTGGTGCTAAAGCGGTGGCAAACTTCAAACCTTGTTTTAGCCAAACAGCTAATGGGAAGGGCATGTATGAGGTTGCTGATAAACACAAGTCTAAAGGGTTTGACACTTGTGCGGTTGAGCTTGCTCAAGTCGTCAAAGGTATGAAAGACCCGGATGAAAAAGATAGCAAGAAAATGGAGGAATGTTTCAATGAACTCAAGAAATCAAAGGATGCTATTATGAAATGCTAATTAAAGCTTACATTAATGCTGTAGAGATACAGATTAATAAAACGTTTATGATTATCAAATTATTTATTTGTTTATCTATATTTTACCTTTGCTAAATTAAATGTATTTGCTGTTGATTAACATATAATTATTAATGAGTTTTGTAAACTTTATTTAATGTGAAATGTAAAACATTTTTTATCATTTTTAAATATAATTACCCTAATTCTTTCTATTAAAAAATATAATTTAATTATTTCAAATGAATAAAATCAAATAAATTATTTTTAAACATGTTAAAGAAATAATATATTACACCGTACAATACGGATTTAAATACATTGTTTTAAAAACTATAACTTTTAAAAATTATTCATTATTAATTTATAAAATGATTTTAATTTAAAAAGATATCTAGTGACAAATTTTAAAATGTTATCAATGTTTAAATTAAATAAAACGTTAATCTTGATTACATATTTTACTAGGATAGAAACATAAATCTTAGCACATATAAATTATGTTTAAACAATTATGAAATTTTAATTTATTTAATTAATTATTATCTGTTATAGCTACTATTTCATTTGAAATAATATAATTATTCAGCAGCGTTAATTCAGCATCAACAATTTTACAAGTCAATTAAAGCAAATCAATATGAATTGCAGCTATTTTATTTAACATTTGTAATTACAGTATATAATATTGACAACTGGTGACCTAAAAACACTACACATTTAACGGCACAGTCAGGTGTGCCCGAGCGGCCATACAGCTCTGCCTTTAGTCATTTAGTTTCCTTCGAAGCGGTTCCTTATATATTGGATGACTTGGTTCTACCCCAAAAGGTCTAAAACCCAAAACGCCTAAACCCCAAAAGGCCTAAAACCGAAAAGGCCTAAACTCAAATAACTAACTGACCAGTGGATATATTTTTAATTTCATTAGTGGAATAGACGAGCCTCAACCTAACCTAACCTA